TAAAGCTAAGCATCCTAAACAATGAACCAAAACTAGTACATAATACTAGCAAAGTAGTATAAAAGATCAGATAATTCTAGGCATGGGTGGAAAAAGAACTTTTAGCACTCACAATTTCATAAAAGGGGTGAAAGATAAAAATGCTTATTTCAAGTAATAGATATAGCAATAGTAACAACACACACACAAGAAATCTACAGAATGTGGCCTCGACAATCACTGTTTGACACGCTTATACACAACATATCGGGATACCAAGAATTCAATGACATGCTACAGCAACACAGACCTCCGAGACACTGGAAACACATTTTGAAATACAACAGACAGGAAAAAATAAGATGCAAAGTGAACTTCGGGTACTCCTATGAATCTCGACAGGCAATGAACGAGAAAGAAATTATTTATGCCTATCCGCTATACTAATCTAAGATGCAAGTTGTATTTTCCACTATTTCCTCCAACCTTAACCAAATTTTTCTCCCAACTTTTTCCAGTCTTTCTCACTGTTCTCTGCAAATTTTTCTTTTCTAAGTATTTGTGTATAAGTGTCTTAATCAGTAGCTACGGTGTTTCTCCAAAATTCCAAAAAAAATATCCCACCCTTCACACAATGAATAAGAAAGGGTATTATATAGATGGGACATTAGGGAAAAATCTGGAGGGACAAAATGGACAAAAATCCGAATTCAAGGCCCATTTTCGAATTCAAAACTCCCAATTCTTTCACCATTTGAACTAAACACCTTTCCCTGAAATTTTGTCTCATTCAGGAAGAGGAAATCGGGACAGACGCGTGCTTCTGCTACTGTACGATTTGAGAGAAGAAGACAAAGGAAACGCAGTGGACTGCTTTTCGTCTACTTCCGTCTATATCCGTTTGAAATCGCTTGAAAGATCAACGTTGTTTGTTGCTTTCCGTGCGTGCTGCCGCTTTGAACATTAGAGTTGTTGTCATATTTTGCTGATGATAATGTGAGCATCTGGGTTTCTTTTAGGAGTTTGGCATGGGGCTGGGTCAGGAGACTAAAAGTGGGCTGGGAATAATGTTGGAATGTATGTTGTTGGTTTGAATTAAAAGAAATAAAATTGGTGGGCCGGTTGGGATGTTATTACTGAGTTTTGTGGGCTGAAAATTAAGAATGGGAATGGGTCCAAGTGAATTACAATTGGTCCATGGAATAACAAAATTGAATCTACTTAGCAAACTCGACCAATAAATAAGTAAGACGAATTAATATAATTAAACAACGAGCTTCCTGATCTTAACAAAATAAAATAGTAACTTAAATATAAACTAAATAATACAAAATATAAGTTATTATATAACTAAACTAACTAACCAAATATTTAATCAAAACAAAGTCTTTCTGAGACGACTTTCGAATAATCATAAAATATATTAATTATATACATAATTATTTAAAAACATATATACTATTTGAAAGTTGTAAAAAAAAGTGACAAAACTACTTGAAATAACTTGCAAACCATTTTTCTTTTTTCTTTAAATTTTATAATATTTTAAATCGTTTGAAATCTAAGAAGCTAAAAACCTAATCGTTATCGGGGGAGGGTCAAAATTGGGTCTCAACAGAAGTCAACATGAATGCCATACAAATAGTGTTTCCAGATCTTTAACGCATGCACAACTACAGCCAACTCTAAATCGTGGGTCGGATAGTTCTTGTCATTATTCATCAACTGCCTTGAAGCATATGTTATAACCTTACCACGTTACATTAGAACACATACCAACCCAACACCAAAAGCATCACAGTACACCACATAGCCCTCTGAACCCTCTGGTTATGCTAGAATTGGTGTTGATGTCAACCTGTCTTTCAGTTCCTCGAAACTATGCTCACAAGCCTGAGTCAACTGGAACTTAGCTTCTTTTTGAGTCAGCTTCGTTAATGGTTTTGAAAGAGAAGAGAAACCCTCTACAAAGCTTCTGTAGTACACCGCTAATCCTAAGAAACTACGAACCTCAGTTGGAGTCATGGGTCTGGGCCAAGTCTTTATAGCTTCAATCTTTTGTGTATCAACTGTAATGCCTGCATCAGATACAATATGGCCTAAGAAAGCTACAGAGTCTAATGAGAACTCATACTTAGAAAACTTTGCATAAAGTTCTCGGTCTCAAAGAACTTGAAGAACTACTCGTAGATGATCTGCATGCTCAGCTTTTGAACGTGCATTCACAAAAATATCATCAATAAATACAATTACAAACAAGTCTAGATACTGCCTTAATATACTATTCACAGGTCCATGAACAGTGATGGGGCATTAGTTAATCCAAAAGACATTACCAAGAACTCAAAGTGTCCATATATGGTTCTAAAAGTTGTCTTTGGAACGTCTTTCTCCCGAACTCGTACTTGGTGGTACCCTGATCTTAAATCAATCTTTGAGAAGCACTTAGCACCTTTTAACTGATCAAAAAAGTCATTGATCCTCGGAAGGGGATACTTATTCTTTATAGTCACCTTATTCAATTGTCGGTAATTGATACACATTCTCAGTGAGCCATCTTTCTTCCTCACGAATAACACTTGCCTGATAATGCCTTTATCTAGCACGTCTTTTAGCTGATCCTTCAACTTTTCTAGCTAAGAGCCATTCTATAAGGAGGGATAGATATGGGTTATGTACCTAGTAGCATATCGATGGCAGAAACAATTTCCCATTCTAGAGGGATACCAGGAAGCTCGTCTAGAAATACATCAAGAAACTCATTAACTACCGGAATTGACTGAAGAGTCGGTGGTTCTGCATCTATATCATGAACGCGAACAAGATGATAAATACAACCCTTAGTAATCATCCTTCTCGCCATAAGATTGGAAATAAACCTACCTTTCGGTGTTGATGTATCGGCTTTCCATTCCCGAACTCCCTCTCCTGGAAAGTGGAATCTAACAATCTTTGTCTGACACTCAACATTAGCATAACAAGACGCTAATCAGTCCATACCCATAATGACATTGAAATCAACCACCTCTAACTCTGCCAGGTCTACAGAGGTCTGACGGTTGATAATATCTACCGTACAACCTCGATAGACTCTCCTAGAAATAATAGACTCACCAACTGGTGTAGATACAATAAAGGGTCGATCTAATGACTCTGCTACTATACATAACTTCCCCTTAATAAATGGAGTAACATAAGAAAGAGTAGATCCAGGATCTATCAAAGCATAAACACAATGGGAGCAAACAATCAATGCACCTGTCACAACATCTGGTGATGACTCTGAGTCATGTCGCCGGCTAGTGAATATGTACGGTTCTGGCCACTACCAGAACTAGATGTTCCCTATCTGCTTCCGCTTGTTCCTCTACCTGTTGAAGTTTGGGGTCCACGCCTCGTAGACTGTGCAGATGAGGAGGAACCTACTACTGACCCGGTCGACTGTCCTATACCACCTTGACCTATGGTCTGGTAGTTCCTCTACCCATGCCCCTACCGTCCACAAGAATAACAACCTATGGAACCCTGCTTGCACCTCTCGAAATGCATCATACCGCAAGTAGCACAACGCGGCGGGGCTATCCTAGCCTGGCCCAAACCCCTCTACTGCTGAGAGCCTAATGCTCGTGAACCCTCACCCCAGACTAACTGTCCCTGACGATCAAACCTATTACCCTGGAACTGCTGTGATGGAGGTCTAGGTGGCCTACTAGAATATCGGGGTCTAGGACCAACCTGAAAATCTCCCTGTGAACCATCGGGCCTAGCCCTCTTCTGTGTCTCTCAAGACCCCCTCACTCATATACTGTAGATGTCGGCGATCCTCTATGCCCTGTGCAAAGGCCAGAATTCACGAGATATCCATATTATTATTTAGTTCAGTGGTAGAACAAGCGTTGATATAGTCTTAGTCAAACCCTCCCACAAATCTACGCACCGTGTCATGCATTGTATCAAGAATTGTCGGTGCATATCTAGCCAATGAATCAAATCTCAGCCCGTACTCTCGGACACTCATGCTGCCCTATCGGAGGTTCAAAAACTCATCCACCCAGGCATCCCTAATCTCTCAAGGAAAATAGTGATATATGAAAGATTCTATAAAGCTATCCCAAGTGGGTAGAGATGCATCTTTTACCTTAGATCTCTCCCAACTTACGTACGACAATAATGCAACATCACACAATTGAAATGTTGCTAACTCAGCTGACTCAGTCGCTGAGGCATGCATGACTCTGAAGATCCTATGAAGTTGATCTACAAAGTATTAAGGGTCCTCTTTGCGATCTATCCCTGTAAACTATGGAGGATTCAAGGCAAGAAATTCAGTAACTCTCGAACTTATGGACCCTTCAAAAGGTCCAAGAACATCTGGCGCAACTGGTTGGCATTGTGCAGCTACTAACTGTGCTAACATACATACTGCACTCTTGAAATCCTGATTATATGGAATAGGAGGAACTATAGGTGGTACTGCTGGTGGAGTTGGGGGTCCTGTAGTCCTCAGGGGCTCCTAAAGTAGTGGAGAAGCTATAGGGGAATGAGAAGATTTCTCCCCCTGGGTCTGACAATGGGCTACCTCCACGTGTGGTACCTTGCCGGTACCCTCGCTTGCCGTTATATCTAACCCCTGGCTAATTGTGGTCTATCTGGTGTCATCCATCTCTATCTTCATACAAATATCAATTTTAAGCCAGAAACGTCAACCTTTAAGACACCGCTCTATAGCACGAGGTGAGAAAAAAGGATAGGCATTCTAACAAGCCTGGTAGCTTCTTGCTTATCGAATGTGGTGCACAAGTTATTATAACAAGACTCTAGTAGACACTGTTTGCAGACTCCGTAGGATACAACGTTGCTATGATACCTAGTTTTCATGCCCCAAACTCAAGGGGTGCAACCGGCTCCTAATGCCAGAACTCAGGCCTGAGCCGACCCTGCTGAACCATTTGCTACTAGTGCATGGTAGCCACATACAATCAAGAAAACAAACAAGTATATCTCGGCTTAAAATAATGCCCTCAGCCGGCAAGGCCCCTATCAACAGATCTATAAAAAACAGCTACTCCCAAGAGTTCATATCTAGCAGAAAAGTCCTGATTGAGCCGTCGAGGCCACCATGATCTATATACTGAAACTGAGAGCAAGTATATATCCTGACAATACATAAAACAACTAACAAGCTTCAGCAAACCAATAAACTTGGCAGGCATGGCCATAACGTAGCTATACATCCCACACACTAGTCTGCAAGACTTTAAGAGTATTAAAGATTGGTGGGACAGGGACCAACCTAGCCATAAAAATATACAACAAAAAGCTAACAAACCTCCCAACTCTGGAAGCTCTGGAGGAAAGGGGTTAGCCAACCGGATAAAAGTCAATCCTGCTGCTAAGGAGGTCTACTGGGTCGTTTGTTGGGACTTGTAGGCATGAATGCAGTACCCTCAGGCAATGGGGCAACGGTATGAAATAATGTACGGAGTATGAAAGGCAATAGATTATTAGCAGGTATACTAATATACTAGAAGTAATCTGATAAATAAATCAAAGATAAGATAAGTGTACTGACATGATACTAAATCTAAACTTATCAAAAAAATAAATAATAATAACCTAACAAAGTCACCTTAAGCTCGGTAGGTACAAACAGCAAACAAGACCACCTACTCAGGCCCCCACATGCCTAGAAGGTACGAATCAGTCTATATACCCCTTTCGGTAGTACCCTAGCCCCGTAGGCAGTCACATAGCCCTCCTAGGCATTAATATAGCCCTGTAAGAAGCACATAGATCTCTTAGGCATCATTATTGCTTATAGACAACTCATAGCCCTCTTAGGCAACAACATGGCCCTGTAGGCAGCACAAAGCCTTCTTAGGCATCAATATATCCCCGTAGGCAACTCATAGCCCTTCTAGGCATCAATATAGCCTTGTAGGCAACTCATAGACCTTATAGGCATCAATATAACCCCGTAGGTAGAACATAGCCCTTCTAGGCATAGATCACATTCTTGCTGCTAACCACAATAGCCCCAAGGGAAACAATAACAATCCAATAGGCTAGAAGCGAGCAATTGAGATATAAGCGACCTATATGAATAGCCTCTAAGTTGTGTCCAACATAGGAACGCTACTAACTGAATAAGAATCCCAATAAGGGAGGATTATATCCACTCGAGCAGCCAACAATCAACAATAATGGCTACAAGTATAACAACGATAACAACCCAATTACATTGCTTCTAAGCTTTAACAAAACATGATATTACAAGGGAATAGCCTTAGAATACCTTTTTCGCTAAATTCACATGGCCTAAATACCTTTACTCACAATCCCCCCCTCGATACTACAACAAGGTAGGACAATGTTGACGAGCTCAATGCGTAGACCAACTTTTGTCAAAGTCTTAAATCGAGAAAATCTATAATTTGGTTGATCCTACAAATGGGTTTTCTAAGTTTTATGGTTCTTCACAAAAAAATGGAGAAAAAGTCGAAGAAGAAGATATATAAAAAGTTCCACTGACCTAGGGCCCCACCTCACGTGCATGCTTGCGCAGCCTTACAAAAACTTAAATATCTCTGTATTCTGAAGTCGTATGAACAAATGGTTTGATTCGTTGGAAACTAGACTCATAGACCTTCGATTTGATAGGTTGTAGGACCCATAACTCTTTATAAATTGGGAGAAAACCTCCGAGACATTTGACCCAAATATCAGAGAAATATTTAAGAAAGAACTTACGATAACTTTCGCCAACTTTTATCTTGCCACTTACCTAACTTCAAAATTTGAGATACAACCTTTGAACACTTAAAGTATGACATACCACATCATTCTTAATTATTACTCACCCTCTTTGTCTTTCCAAAAAGGTACGAGTTAATTTAGACGTTTCGAAAAGTGGGGGTGTTACAATATCTATGCACAAGCCGCGTCCTTAGTACGATTGAACTTACAAAGGCTCGTCAAGGTAAAGATGAGCTAGTTGTTGACTTTATCAATCGTTGGAGAAGTTTGATCCTCAAATGCAATGATCACCTTAGTGAAATTTCTAGAATTGAAATGTGCATCGAAGGCATGAATTGGGGTCTTCAGTACATCTTGCAAGGATTAAAGCTTAATACATTCGAAGAGTTGGCAACTCATGCACATGACATGGAATTAGGCTTGACTTTAAGAGAAGACTAACGATCTCCTGTCTATGGACCTCATGTAAATGGAGATATAGAAGAACACCAAAGTGGGGACAAGTACGCATCCAAAGATGACGTAGAAAAGTTAATGAATATCTAGACGCTCTTTAACGCACGAGCCTAAACTGCAAGTTATAATGCTCCTTAAGGTATGAGCCTAAACTTCATGTCACTCCTGACCCACAAGAGTATAAACTCTGTATGACACACCAAAAAAACACTTCCAGAACTGTGTTGTGACTTGATCATCTTCACTGAAGTATATAGGTACTTAGAACCATATTCTAAGTCCAGTTGCATGGGTGTTTAAAAAAACCACATGCTCCCACTTAATATGTCACATGAAAGTCAAAGTTAAAAGTATTTTTTTTTATCTTCTATTTTCATCAAGCTTCATACTTGCACGAAGTGTTGATGATTCAATAGGGGGTAAATCCTTATAAAATATGAGTTTATTGAATAGTATGCTTGAAGTCTTTAAATTCAGTTAAGTATGCAAGTTGAATTTTTTAAATTCTTCAAGTTTGCAAGGTAAAGTCTTCAAATCCTTCAAATATGCAAGTTGAAGTTTTCAAATCCTTTAAGTATGCAAGTTGAAGCCTTTAAATCTTTCAAGTATGTAATTTGAAGTCTTAAAATCCTTCAAGTATGTAAGTAGAAGTCTCATCCTCCAAGTATGCAAGTCAAAGTCTTCAAATTCTTCAAGTATGCTAGTAGAAGTCTTCAAATCCCTCAAGTTTGTAAATTGCAGTCTTAAAATCCTCAAAATATGCAGGTTGAAGTCTTCAAATTCTCCATGTATGTAAGTAGAAGTCTTCAAATCCAACAAAGTATGCAAGTCGAAGTCTTCGAATTCTTCAAGTATGCAAGTAGAAGTCTTCAAATCCTCCAAATATGCAAGTTGAAGTCTTCAAATCCTCCAAGTATGAAAATATTCAAGTTGAAGTCTTCAAATTCTTCAAGTATGTAAGAAGTCTTCAAATACTTTAAGTATGCAAGTTAAAGTCTTCAAATTCTTCAAGTATGCAAGTAGAATTCTTCAAATCCTTCAAGTATGCAAGTTGAAGTCTTCAAATTCTTCAAGTATGCAAGTAGAAGTCTTCAAATCCTCCAAGTATGCAAGTTGAAGTCTTCAAATTCTTTGAGTATGGAAGTAGAAGTCTTCAAATCCTTAAAGTTTGCAAGGTGAAGTCTTCAAATCCTCCAAGTATGCAAGTTGAAGTCTTCAAATCCTCTAAGTATGTAAGTTGAAGTCTTCAAATCTTTCGAGTATGCAAGTTGAAGTCTTCAAATTCTTCAAGTATGCAAGTAGAATTCTTCAAATCCTCCAAGTATTCAAGATGAAGTCTTCAAATCCTCCAAGTACACAAGTTGAAGTATTCAAATCCTCCAACTCTGCAGGTTCAAGTCTTCAAATTTGTCAAGTTTTCAAGTTAAAGTGTTCAAATCCTCTAAATATGCACTTTGTTAAATTTCCATGCCTTAATATGGAAAAAATTGTCCCTTTGCACCTAAAGCTTGTATTTTCATGGATTTTTTCCTTAGATGGATCTTTAAATTCTCATGCCTTAAGGTGGACGAGATTTGTCCCTTTGCACCTTAAGCTTGACATTTCGCGAATTTATCCATTAATGGATCTTATAAAGCCTCAAGTTAGTGATCTCAAGGCGAGGATGTTCAACACAACCTTTCACACCTCAAGATCAAATTCTTATGTAGTATTAAGGATCTTATAAAGCCTCAAGTTAGTGATCTCAAGACGGGATTGTTCAACATATCCTTTCACACCTCAAGATCAAATTCTTGTAAAGTATTCAGGATTTTATAAAGACTCAAGTTAGTGATCTCAAGGTGGGGATATTCAACACGTCCTTTCACAGCTCAAGAAGAAATTTGTGTTCCTCAGGAAGCAAACGAAGGGTTGTTCTAGACCAAACTCGACATTCTGGAACTAACCACGCTAAAAGAATTTTCATCTGAGTGCATTTTCCAAGAATGTTGACCAAAGTTAACCTTAGGCCAAATTTCAAAGGCTAAGACACCAAATGGTCCCATACTCGCACCGAAGGCCTCGGGACTCGTTTAGACGATGCTTCTAACCTAATTTGGCCATTCCGGACCTGATGGAACCGTCAAATTTTTGTCCTAATGTCGTTTACCAGATATTTTGACTAAAGTGAACTTTTTAAGGTTCAAAAGCTCCAAAACAAGGAAACGAGACTAAAACTCAAACGAACGCCTATGCGACTGAACAGTCAGTGCCAGCATGTCATAAATGACTTGGGGTCGCTATAGGAATGCTCTAAACGCCGAAATGAATGCATTAACTCAAAAATGACCTAAAGGGTCATTACAACACTCACTACTAAAAGAACTTTTGTCCATTAAAGTAAAAGTCAAGAAGTACCTGAAGGCTCAAATATGTTGGGGAACTACTCCCTCACCTCCTGCTCGGTCTCCCAAGTGGCCTCCTCGACTGGACAGTGCCTCCAACGAACTTTAACCACAGGAATGGTTCTGGATCGCAACTGTCTCACAACTTTGTCTAAGATGGCAACTTGCTCCTCAATATAGGTCAGTCGATCATCTAACTCAACCACAATATATTGGAGCATAGGGGACTCATCTGGAACATACTGGCGCAGCATCGAAACATGGAATACCGGATAGATAGCTAAAAATGTTGGAGGCAAAGCTAACTCATAGGCAACCTCACCAACTGTCCTCAAAATCTCAACAGGCTTAATATATTTTGGGCTAAGCTTGCCCCGCCTCCGAAATCTTATTACGCCCTTCATGGACGATACTCGAAGGAATACTCTATCACCAACGACAGAGCTCAACGACCGACGCCTGCGATCCGCGTAATAGTGGTGTCTACTTTGAGTTGTCCTAAGCCTATCCTAAATCACCCTCACATTATCTAAGGCCTCCTGAAGAAAGTCTGTGTCGCGTGGCCTAGTCTATGTAGACTGAAACCAACCAATCAGAGAGCGACAACGCCTACCATATAAGGCCTCGAACGGGGCCATCTATATACTAGAGTGGTAGTTGTTGTTGTATGCAAAATCAGCCAAGGGGAAAAACTTGCCCCACTGACTTCCAAATTCCATGACACGGGCCCACAACATATCCTCAAGGACCTTAATAGTGCTTCCACTAGCCATCAGTCTGCAAATTAAATGTTGTGCTAAGGTCGACAAGGGTGCCCAACTCCTCCTAAAAGACCCTCCAAAAGCAGGAAGAAAATTGTGAACCTCGGTCTGAAATGCTAGAAACATGGACACCATGAAGACGAACCCCCTCCCGAATGTAGATACGAGCCAATCTCTCGGCACTACAGGAGGTATGAATGGGGATGAAGTGTGCTGACTTGGTTAATCGATCCACGATGACCCAAATGCTGTCACGACCCCTGGAAGTCTAGGCAAACCCACAACGAAGTCCACGGTGATACGCTCTCACTTCCACTCATGAATGGGTATTCTCTGAAACTCACCATGAGGCCTCAAATACTGGGCCTTCACCTGTTGGCAACACAGGCAACGGGACACATAGTCTCAGATATCTTTCCTCATACTGCTCCACCAGTAATGCTGCCTCAAGTCACTATACATCTTAGCGGTACCTGGATGGATGGAATATCTAGAATCATGGGCCTCGCTAAGGATCAACTGAATCAAACCCCCAAATCTCAGAACACACAATCGGTCAGCAAACCTCAACACTCCATCTGAATCTAAAGTAGCCAGCCAATACTCTATCTCTGAGTGCCACCAAAGACTCATCCTCGAACTATCGCCCACGGATTCGGTCTAACAAAGATGACTGAATCCCCACATGAGCTAACATCCGTCTGGAATCTAGAAGATCTAGTTGAATCATCTGGTTGGCTAAGGACTGGATGTCCAAAGCCAAAGGTCGCTCCGAAACAGAAAGAAAGGCTAGACACCTATACTCACTGCCTTCCGACTCAAGGCCTCCACTATCACATTCGCCTTACCCGGATGGTAAAGAATAGAGGGGTCATAGTCCTTTAGGATCTCAATCCAACGGCGCTGCCTTGAATTAAGATCCCTCTAGCTCATAATGTACTGAAGGCTCCGGTGGTCAGTGTAGATCTCACAACGCACTCCATATAGGTAGTGCCTCAAAATCTTAAATGCAAAAACTATCACCGCTAACTCTAAGTCATAAGTGGGGTAGTTGCGCTCATGCGGCTTTAGCTGCCTCGACGCATAAGACATAACCCGACCCTGCTATATCAAAGCACAACCGAAACCAACATCAGATGGGTCACAATAAACTGTGAATGCCTCGCACTCAACTGGAAGAGTCAATATAAGAGCGGTGGTAAGCAACTCTTTGAGCCTCAAAAATCTCCTATCACACTCCTCCGGCCACTCAAAGGGAACATCCTGGCGAGTCAACCGAGTCAAAGATGTCGCTATAGTAGAAAAGCCCTCAACAAAATGCTTGTAGTACCCTGCCAATTCGACGAAGCTATGAATTGCAGTTATAGAGGTGGGCCTGGCCCAGTCACGGATAGCCTCAATCTTCATCGGATCAACCATAATGCCATCCTTGGACACCACGTACCCCAAGAATGCTACAGACTCAAGCCAAAACTTGAACTTTTAGAACTTGGCATAAAGTCGATGATCTCTCAAAGTCTGGAGCATTATCCTCAAATGTTGCTTATGCTCACTCTGGCTCCGCGAGTATACCAATATATCATCGATGAAAACTATAAATAAGGATTCAAGGTACGGCCTAAATACATAATTTATCAAGTCAATGAAGGCAGCAAGGGAATTAGTCAGCCCAAAAGACATCACTAGGAACTCATAATGGCCGTAACGAGTCCTAAATGCGGTCTTAGGGATGTCCGCTACCCTAATCCTCATCTGGTGGTAACTGGATCTCAGATCAATCTTGGAAAACACCTCGACATCTTAAAGCTGGTCAAATGGGTCATCAATGCGAGGCATGGGGTAATAGTACTTCACCATCACCTTGTTCAGCTACCTGTAATCAATACACATCCGCATAGTACTGTCATTCTTCTTTACAAACAGGACTGGAGAACCCCAAGGCAATACACTAGGCCGAATGAATCCTTCACCCAAGAGATCCTGAAGCTGAACACTGAGCTCTTTGAGCTCTGCATAGGCCATACGATACGGTGAGATAAAAATAGGAAGAGTACCTGGCTCCAAGTCTATGGATAAATCAATATCACGATCTTGTGGTAAGCCAGGCAGGTCGGCGGAAACACATCAACAAACTCTCGGACTACAGGCACTGAATCAACCGTAGGGCCCTCCCTACTAAGATCTTTAACATAAGCAAAGTAAGCCAAACATCCGCTAGCCATTAACCTCCAAGCCTAAATGCAAGAAATCACCCCAGTCGGTGTGCGCCTACAAGAGCCCTGCCACACCACCAGTGGAATACCAGGCATGGCTAAGGTAACGGTCTTGGCATAGCAATCCAAAACCGCTCAGTGAGAGGATAACCAGTCCATTCGTAAAATCATGTCGAAATCCAACATATCAAGTAAAATAAGATCAACCCGAGTGTCTCACCCATAAATAGTCACCAAACAAGATATAAAGATCTGATCCACTACTAAAGAATCACCTACTGGGGTCGAAACGGGTAACTGCACTGCTAAGGACTTGGGGCACATAATCAATCGAGGAGCGCAATATATATACACATAAAAATAAGTGGAGCCTGGATGAAATAAAGTTGAGGCGGGCTGATGACATGAAAGTATCATACCTATAATCACATCATCCGAAGAATTGGCCTCTGGTTTAGCTGGAGCTGCATTAAAGTTACCCTGGGTACCTCTACCACGTGCATCAAATCTACCACATGTCCTGCCTCCCCGGGGATCTCCCCGTACACCCTGATGACCACCCCGATGATCCTGATCCTGACCTCCTGTAGCTGGAGGTGTTGCTGCTGGTGCGGGTCTAGCTGGTTATGTAGCTGGTGCGGCTGACCTACGGAGATGACACTCTCTGGACCAATAATCGAGCTCCCCGCAGTCTTAACAACCCACTCACAACTGGAGGCTGGCCACCCCAGCCTGAAGAACGCGACTGAGTACCACCTCGGCCCTGACTCGTATCGGCACTAGAGCTACCCTAATGGTGTTGGTTACCATTTGTAGCATAAAGTGATGCCTAGAACGGGCGAGTGGACTGACCCTGCTAGAACCTCTGGCGGGGCCTATCATGTGAGTCTCTAGGCCTAAAATGGGGCCCACTGTGACTATCATCTTGTTTGGCCCTCTTGTCGCTGCGCCCTTGGGCATCACGATAGAGCTGCTTTAGTGTGCGAGCGTGGTCCACAATATCAAGAAAGGAACGTCCCACTGAAACCATGGATTGAGTCTCTATGCACAGTTGCAACCTCAATCCTCTAACAAAACCCTGAACCCTCTCCTGCTCCGTTGGTAAGATCATAGTACCATGACAGGAGAGCTTGTGGAATCTGGCCTCATACTTTGACACAGTCATGGAGCCCTGCTCCAACCTTGAAAACTAATCACGAAGCCAATCTCTGACACTTCACGGGATAAACTGGGCAAAGAATACCTCAGAGAACTCTGCCCAAGATACAGATGGGGACCCAACATGCCTGGTTTCCAAGTAAGAACGCCATCACTGTCTGGTAGGCCTATATAGCTGATAAGCAGAAAAGTCGGCCCCTCTCACCTCTACCAAACCCAAAGTATGTAGCCACTCCCGGAAAGTAGTAAGGAACTCAGGGGCATCCTCTCCAACATCCCCAAAAAACTCGGAGGTGACAATCTCAGAAACACCCGGAGCATCTTGTGCTATCGTAGTGGCATGACCCCATATAAAACATCTGATTGGGTGGCGGTTGGTTGATGATTCCTCAGATTTGACTCTTTTAGAGCTTTATTTTACTATAAATAGTGTCCTCAAATGCTTATTTTCTCTCAATATCTAATAAAAACTCTCAAGTTTCAAGTATTTAAAGTTTTAATGGAATCATGGACACTTAGGCGCAAAAAGAAACAAAAAGACTGAAGAGAACGAAGAAACTAAAGCCTCAGCATAGCCAAGCACATTTGGAGCATTGCCGACTGGACATACTTAGCCCTTTGTTCCAGTACGCGAAGCCCTGAAGGAAGAGGATCAAAATGGCGTTGAAAAAAGCATTCGTCATATCACCGATCAGTTCCACGAAGTAGAAATATACCGCCCAATGGTCCAGGACGTAAATATATTATAGGCAAGCACAGAAGGGCAATGAACCACACGATGGGTGAATCGCCGAGTCGATCGGCGATTCCAACTTACCTCGCCAAACGATCCGCCGCAGCACTATTTTCTGTAATTATAAATACTAGCTCTTTATTAGTTTTAAGTGGATCCGAACATTATTGTAATTTTGAGACTTAGAATATTAGCTTTTCATTTTTCTCTCAAGTTTGGAGAGGGTTTTTGGGAGACTTGAAGAGAAAAGGAGTTCATCTTCCCCAAATTGAAAGTAGGTCTTCTCCATTCTTTTTCTTTTTCTTATATTAAGGTTTAATTTCTTATACCCATTTGATTTCTCTATCATTTTAGGTATAATTTATTATTTCTTGATGTGTGGCCTAAAACCCCCATCCTTAGGGTGTGATTTAGCAAATATGTGTTGATATCATTGTTGGGTTTTGCTTACTGATAGGTTAGATGTATTTTAATGGTGATTTCACCTAGTGGTTGTTGTTTAATTTAATGGGTTTGTAGTTGCAAACAAAACCACCCAT